CCTGTGTGTAGCCATGGCAGTAGAGGGGTGGGAGGGGCTAGCTGCCTTGAGTATAAGCCTATCTAATACCTTATGGCTACGTCTAGACTGGCCACATAAGACGGAATAGGCATGCAAAGCCCTACTTTGAAATAGGAATAAGAGATCCTCCGGAAAAGGGCTTTATTCCGGAGGATCGCGCCAGTCTAGATGCTTTTTTCCGGCTTTTCCCCAAGCCGGAAAAAAAGCGGCGGACATGTTTATTTAAATCCCGCGGGGGATATTTAAATCCCCCGCGGATTTCCCTATTCCCAAGTTCAAAATTAGCATGCCCCTTCCGAAGAAGGGGCCAGTGTAGACGTAGCCTTGTTGTTTCCAACTATTTGATCACGTACTCAGCTGGTTGTCCTTGTACTGTCCGGGTGGCATGTATTTACATACTTCATGTGCTTCTATACATGCTAGCAGTTCTAGTGCCAAGAGACACTGACTTGCAGGCAAAAATTTGCTTTTGACACAGCCTATTTTTTGCTTACTTTCGCTCAAGCACCAGGCCCATGCTTCAGGCTTTCTTTCTCCTACACCTAGTGCTTCTACACCCAATGCATAGCATGTCCCAGGGTGGCGCCCTCCTCTGGCCAGCTGGGAAAATAAGGAGGAGCCTGTCATGTGCCAGGCAGCTCCTTTGGCTGGGGGGGCGGGTTTATCCTGGTGCCAGGCAACTCCCCACAAGGAGTTTCAGGTGCACCCTAGTGCCTAACTCTGTCTCTGTAGATGACCCTGATGACCTGATCCTGCCCAGGAAGGGAGCCCAGCTTGGTGGCTGGAAGGAAAACACGTCCCTGCGCCTTCTCAATCTGGTCTATGATGTTACCCCCCCCGAGCTGGTGGATCTGGTGATCACAGACTTGGGCATGATCCCGTGCACCTCCGTGCCTGTCGTGCTGCGGGTCAAGAATGTGGAGCAGTAGCAGACCTGCAATAAACTTTCTGATCTCACTGCTGCCTGTCTGGCCTGCATGATAGGGGGCACAGCCAGAGCCACTATGCATGGGCCCCCTGCCTGCCCCCATGGGAACCAACCCTGCACCATGGCTTAGTGTCAGGGTGCTCAGCCCCCCCCTTCCAGAGGGCACATTGACACCTCAGCTTGGTGTCAGGGCGCCCACTCCCCCCCCAGCATGGTGTCAATGTGCCCCCT